CTTTTGTTTGTTTTTCTGCCTGGGCGTCTAGAAATCCAGCTCATTATAAAGTATAAATAACACCCACCAAAATAGGTGAGAAAAAGAAAATGCTTAGTCTTCTTAAAGGCCATTTCCCCTTTAATCATGAGACAGAAATTACATATATTTTATCAGAACAATGTGTATTAATGATTGAATATCATAAAGTTCAAGTGTGATTTTTATCTTCATTTAATAACTCAGTGTTTGTTTCTTTCCATGAATTTTCTTTTGTATTGTATCTTAATATTTCACAAATAGCCGGGCAGTGGTGGCACACGCCTTTAATCCCAGCACTCGGGAGGCAGAGGCAGCCAGATCTCTGTGAGTTTGAGGCCAGGCTGGACCGACAGCCTCCAAAACAATACAGAGAAACCCTGTCTCGTAAAACCAAAAAAAATTCACAAATAACTCAAATTAGGCTCTAATTGTATTCTATTTACCCTCTACAAGTTATTTATTTCTTTATATATATTGAAGTTTACAATGTCTGATACCATTATCATATCAAAACCATAAGCCATATTATTACTTCCCTTCCTGACTGGTTAAGAAATTTGCAATATTAGGCATTTGGAAAAACAATGTGTGACTTTACAGAAAATAATATCTGTAATTTTTTGTGCCTTATTTCTCTCAACTCTCTTTGAAAGTTTTAACACTAAATGACATATATTTTTTGTATTTCTGATGAATAGACACATTTTTTTAATTGTTTGAAGTACTCTATCAGCAAGCTGGTCCTGCTTATGTTACAATTTCACTGTTAGTGATTTGTCACATTTTAGCTGTACCTAGACTTGAAGTAAATTTTGGTCTAGAGTGGCCAAAGGGATTAAAGATGTTGGAAACATGGCAAATTATTATGAAATCATTATGCAGTTTTGGATGTGGATGTTAAGTGTAAATAATGGCACACAAAATATTCTCTTTTTAATATTTGCAATACAGTATTTAACAGTATCACATAGTAAATTCCGCAAACAGTATCTCATTGTAAGAAATATTCTCCATTTAAAAGTCAGACTCATGAAAATTGTGCTAAAGACTATAGGGGGCTAGAAAAATTCTCAGTGATTAAAAATGCTGAATACTCTTCCAAAGGATCTGGATTCAACTTACACATTGATTCACAAACATCCATGACTTCAGTTTCATAGGATCCAATACCTTAATACCACAATGGGTACCAGGCATACACATAGGGAAACTACCCATACACATATAATATAATAAATAAATCTAAAACAAAAAGACTTACTTACTTTTAGACTCAAATACTATGAGTTTTGTGATGTTAATTATAATTTAGCATCTGTAATTATTTTTAGTTGTTTTTAAGAAAAGAGTTTTAGTTCACTGAACACTTAAATATTCAATAACCTCTTAGATTTTGTTTTGTAAACTTTGTTTAAAAGAGTGTGCAAGGTATAAGGGTATGAATAAAACTAAAAATAACATTTTAGAAAGAGATAAAATGCATGTATAGTTAATAAAAACGCAAATCATGAGAAAACTAAATCCTACTGTTTTGCTAAAGGAACATTGCCAGAAATGCTACTCCTAATGATATTATGCTATGGCTATAGCATAATATCATTAGGAGTAGCATTTCTGGCAATGCTCAGCCATCATCAAAGAAACTTACTCTTGGAGAAGGGAACAAATATAGAGACCCACAATTGGACCATGCACATATCTTGAGAAACTGTAGAACACTAAATTGTAAGTAGGATTTCTTGAGCAAGTCCCTCTTGGCAAGGTTAAGGACTCTACGACAAAGAGAAGGTGGGTACATTATAAGAACCCATGGGGATGGAACACACCAAGAAAACAAGACCTTCTACACATACTAACTGTGATATTTAGCCAAGAATATCCAGGATATGAAATTTATTTCCCTGTCATGTATCATGTTAGTTATTCTAGCTATTTTATCACACTGGATTACAGAGAATTTTCCTTTCTTCTTAACTTTGAAAACAGTATTATCACCTTCTGAAGCATCACCATGTCTAGAAAAATCCCCTCACCGTCAAAAATCTAAAAGGCAAAGTTGCATTTTCTGATGATACACTTTTATTTACAATTCTCAGATTTAACTCTTTAATAATATGACTACTTTTATTTTTTAACTTTCATATATATATATAATTTTTAAATTTAAATTTAAATTAGAAACAAGGTTGCTTCACATGTCAATTCCAGGTCCCTCTCCGTTTCCCTCCACTCCTCCCGTGCCCTCCCATCAACCCCCCCAATATCCCCTCATTTACCCAGAGAGGGTGAGGCCATCCATGGGGGTGTCCCTAGTCTGTCATTTCATCCAGGGAAGGGCCTAGACCCTCCCCCAAAAGTTCAGGGTGAGAGTGCATCTCTCATTGTTGGATGAAAGTCCAAAGTCCATTTGTATACCTGGGATAAATTCTGATCTACTATCCCAGGCTCAATAGATTACCTAGGCCTCCTCACTGACATCCACATTCAGGGGGTCTTGATCAGTCTCATGCTGAATTCCCAGGCATCAGTCTGGGATTCAAGAGCTAACCCTTGACAGGTCAGCTGTTTCTGGGTAACCTGCCCAGTCTTAATCCCTTTGGTCATCAGTCCTCCCTCTCTGTCACTGGATTTATATGACTACTTTTAAATCTCCACTCACTGTGTTTGCTTTTTTGCTCACCTTACAGCCCTTCTGTGATGTTGTTTTTGCCCTTTGAAGAGAAAACAAATGCCATTTTTTTTTAATTAAGGGGAAATAGACTCTCTCAAACATTACTTTTCCACACTTATGAATACCACATACTTATGACTTTCTTTTTTAAATGTAAAATGTCTCTTGTCTAAGCTAAAACATAAGTATACACCAAACATACTTGTTTGGTCATCATAAAAATTTTTCCTTGCTGATTGAATTGTCATATACAGTTATGTAATTTTAATTGGTTTACATACTAGGCATCTGAGGGCCAACTCGATTTCTACGCTTATCTTAGTTTAGTAGATTCCTTCCTAGCAAGTCCTAGTTTAATTCATTGGCAGACTGTATCTCCTCCCCTGGGAATATTGAACTTTACAACTTCATAAAACACTCCCCACCTCTCTCCTTTCCCTTTCCCCTTTTCAATGGTCTCTGATTTATTCTTCCTCACTCTGTGTTTCATAGCAGTTACATACTGTTGCTAAAATCACCATGTTATACTATGTCATTCAATTCTGCAAGGTAGAAGGTAGAAGTTGAGCTTACCATGTTCTCTTGATAATTCTTTTATAATGATTAAAGCTTCTCTGGGGAATGAGGAGAAGGCTTAGTGGATATGTGATGTGCCAAGTGTTTGGATGCCCAGAATCTATGTAAAACCCAGGTGTGCATGATGCACAACTGTAACCCCAGCACTCTGGGAACAGATACAGGGGGTCCTGAGGCAAATTCTAGTCTAGCCAAATTCTGTGATCTCTAGTTTCATCAAGAAGTGAAACCCTTCCTCAATAAATAAAATGTGTTATAGAAGAAGACAAATGTCAATCTCAGCCTCCACACTCATACGGACACATGTACACAATGCCTACGTACATTTCCCACAGACATGTATATGCATACACAGACCCAGACACACACACATACAGACACACACACACACACACACACACACACACACGCACACACACACACGGTCTACAAACACACACAGGCAGAAAGAAATACTTTTCTGAATGTATAAAACACCTTTCCACACCTGTAGAACAACTTGTTATTCAACACTTTCTCTTGCTGTTAAATGCATATTTGTGCATGTAACCTACTAGTTATCCTATCACGATAGATTCAAATATGCCTTAATCGGTTTTTCTCTTTCCGCCTTATTTTCTGCAGACATACTGCTTGATGAATTGCAAAGTGCTGCAAAACTACTCCTGACATTAGCCTACAATTTTATTCTTTCAGTTTATAACAACTTTTACTCACAATTGTGAAGCCTGGAATAAGTGATAAATAATACTCTTTTTCATGTCATCAGTTGAAATTAGTCACCAAGCCTATAAATTTTTCTTTCATCACACATCTCATACTTATCAGAAGTCCTGTGTTATTAACAGCTTTTAGCCCTGTACAAGATTCTGCCAGATAAGCTGTCTTGAAACATAACACAAATCACCTCTAATCAGTGAGCTGTTTAAATGTCTCTTACATTTTTCCTTTCATAACTTCATGTTGGAACAGCATCTTTAGCACAGCAACTATGGTGTCCCTTGCTTTGACCTTGACAACATAAATCTCCAGATGTTTTCTCTATAAATATCTCCAAGTAGATATTGTATACATGACCAAATGTAACTAAAATAGACATTGTCCCTTATTTCACAGTCATTTCCTCTTTAAATTCCTTTTAAAAATTTTTATACAGGCATTTTCTTACTATACAATTCTTAAAATTACTACTACAACCCTGGTTTAATTCTGTGTCATCAACATTAGTTTTAACTGTATTTATCTCCTCAGTGACAATTGTTTGCTAGACTGGACATGTGTTTCCTATGGTTTTTCTTCAGTTGCACCAGGTTTTCAAACATCAATCATTGATTAGTTGTTACGATTATTATACCATTGAACTGTTGGAAAATGTAGATAAGTCTTATACTCTTAAGAATATTATTACACATCTGCAAACTTTTAACAACAGTCAGATATCAAGTACCATATCTAATGAAGAGTTTAACGTATTAAGGAAGTATTTATTCATTGATAAATCATGACAGGGGACCCACCAGGTCCTTTATCATCCTCTTAGCTTCTCATGAAAACAGTGCCCTCTTTTGCATGCGAAATGCTGTGATCTTTACTTAAGCAGATCCAATCTCATTTTTTCTTAAATCATCATAGATTTGAGCTCACTGTTTTCTCAACTTAACCCTAAGAAAACTGTGGCCAGATGCGCATTCTCTAATTAACCTAAAAGTGAACTATATTTCATTGCTTGTAGGATGGTATGGGGAATCTGAGAGTCACCAAGAAGGGAATCCGACTTGAAGGTATATCTGAGTTTCTACTTCCATTGTATGTGAAAGAAATTCATTCCCGAAAGGTATGTGATATGGCTTTGGCTTACTCTAAGATAATTTAGAGTTAAATGTTTTCCCTCGACATGGGAGAATCAGTCTCCTTATCCCCTTCCTTTGCATTTAATTTCTTTAAGCTAAAGACTTATTTGAAGGAACCAAAATAATCAATTTAAGAACAAAACAGCTTTGAATTGGCAAATCTGAGAGCATTTGAATTGAAGCTCTCTACTGCTTTTAGCCTTTGGATTGTGTTCCTCTTCTGTCACTTGAAGCTAAATGCTAGGGCAGCATTTGCAGAAGAGGTTTTCTCAGGAAGCATATGCGGATCACTTTGATTCAGCGTTATCATACATTTTCCCCCTTCAATTCAAATGCATTTCCAAGACATAACAAAAACAAATTAAATTCCTTATTTAACTAATACCAGAGCATTTATACTTTGGACATGAGTGTATGCTATGCTACACATGTAGCAGCATGCTAAAAGAAAAATGAATGATCTTAGTGATCATTCATTCTTATTTAAGAGTGTTACTTTGAAGGTATCAGCTGGTCTGCGGCAACACTGTATCTTCAAACTATCTGGATGTTTTTTGATACATATCCATGAAAGTGAATTTATGAAAACAGAAGGAAAATATTATTATTAATAAGTTACAGAAACAGATTTGAGTTGTAGCTCATGTTCCTACCTGACAGGGAGAGTGTAGATTTTGAAATGGCAGCTTGGTATGTAAAATGAGAAAATACTGTTTTAAAATTTATAAAATACTAAAAATATGAGAACTGAAAACAAAAAGAAATAGCAAGTAAAGATACTAAAGAAAAGACAGAGACACAGTATAGAATGGATGGTACCCAGTGAGTACTGAACTGCCCAATGGTTTTTATTAAGTCTTGTTATACCCCCATCAAAAGAGGACGAGAAGGTAAAAGACTTCCTTACCAAGACACAACCAACCTTCTCAATACTCAAAGCATTAAACAACTATCTCCTGAGTTAAGTATTGCATTGGTCAGGCAGGACATGCAGGGACCACACCCTATGCCAAACTTCTTGTTGTACTCATATCTTAGGCCAGAGAAACTATTGTCTGACATTGAAGGAGCATTGGCAGACAAAAACTCCCTGACATTAAGTCAAAATGGAAAGGAGTCAATTCTATGAATTCCCACAAATTTGTGTCATATAAAACTTATATTTAGATTAAAATAATTTCTCAGTGATACTAAGCTAATATATTAGGAGATTTCTATGGTAAAATTTGGATAAGTCCCTTTCCTGCTATTATCAATATACAATGAAAAAGATTTATTTTTAAATTTTTTGGACAGTTGTATCACCAGTTTTTATAACACATGAACTATATTGCATAGACATTATTGAGTATACTTTCAGAAGCACAAATTTAGTTTAATATTACTTCACAGATTTCAGTAAGATATAAAATAATAGACACATGTTCACACATGACCTTGAAAGTTTAAATTCTAAAAATGACAATTTAATATTTGAGATTAATTTTATATATGAAAACTGGACCAAAATGCTTATAAACATCTGTGTATTCCACTGTTCGCTCATATAACATATACCTCAAGAGCTGGCCACTATTAAATAGTTTAGTGAAATTAAAGAAATTAAAATTCACATTATAGAAATCAGAAAAAAATATTTAACCTAGATAAAAGGTAAGAGTGTTCACACATACACACACACACACACTTTAGTTTAAATGCATCTTATTAGTAATTCCAGAGGCAGCAATGGTGACTTACCTCTAAACTTACCCAGGCTGATTTACATTGTCTCTCTGGGAACACAGCCTAAAGATGGGAAGTCCTATGCCATTGAGACAGCTGAAAATTTATTTTCTGTGATGGACATTTTGGAGAGTATAACAAAAGTTGGTCTCTGAAAACCTGGGTGAGAATTGACCTCCATCTCTGGATAACAGAGAATACCAACTTTGTAGCCTAAATGTGTGAAACAGTGGCACTTGTACTTCCTGCCTAAAGTATCTGATCTCAGCTTCACAAGCATTTGCAAAGTCAGCTGTAGCGATGGGGAGCTGCCGTCCTTGTTCGTATCCCCATTCTTTGCATCTCCAATTTTTTAACTGCTGGTAATTAAGAAGCAATGTTGCAGCATTGGTGGCTGTGACTTCATTGTCCAGAAGGGACATCCACACTGACAACAGATTACAAAGGAGACTACTTAGAAGATTTCTCTATACATACGCTACAAAAAAAATTACAATTCTCTTGCCCGTGAGTGCATATAGTTGTTTATTATGGTTGTTAAGTTTATTTATGCCACTCTTTGATGAATACAGGCACACAATTTTCCTCAGCTCTAATTTTCAAGTTAATGAAGGTAGGAATGCATTTAAATGCTTCTCTCTTAGATTCAGAAGATATACACAAGTCATTATTAATACTAGATACAGAATTTTAATTAATTTTTGAGATATATTCTTGTAGGTATCTTCCCTTATGTCTTTTTAATTTTTGTTGCAATTATTTGTAATTTGGGGTGTGTGTTTGTGTGTGTGTGCGTGCACATGTGTGCATCAGTGAATTCTTAACATATTTTAGGAGTCAGTTTCCTCATTCAACCATGTGGTGCCAAGCAGCTAAAACTCAAGAAATAGTGCAAGATCAAGTATCTTTCCATCTAAACCTGCTTGCCAGATCAGTCTTCTCATACATTTTCATGTATTTAGATTTATAGGAAATTGCCAAATTACTATAGTATCCAGGTAAGAAAAACTATTAAAATAAAAAGCCACCTTAAAAGATTCAACATAGCCTGGAAAATGTAGCATTATATTACTTTGCCTTTTGATGTTTCCCCTCTTCATTTCAGCCTGATGCCTCTTTTTATCAAGCCAACTGATATTATTTAAAATCCCTTTTTGGTAGCAGGACATAGTGACTCAAACCTGTTATCCTGGCACTTAGCAAGCTGATGAAAGATTATTGCATGGGTTTGAGGCCAAGCAGGGCTTCAAGATGAATCCTGGGATAGAGTGAGTTTTATAGTTATTTTTGAATTTAATCCTACACATGAAAACAATTCCTTCTGGACAGAAAGTACAGCTATCTACAAACACACATTGAATTACTCAACCTGATAACACATGGTTTTGATTTAATTTCCCAGAAAATTTTTCTCATCCTCACCACTCTCCAGCTATTATACACACACACACACACACACACACACACACACACACACACACACACACAGACAGACCACTACAGATATCTTTCTTTAAATATCTTCTATAATCAAAAACATTTTCCATCTGACTCATTTGAATCAAACCTATCCAGTTAGACCACAATAAATGTTTTATAACACATATAGTGAATATTCCACCTTGAACATACTTAGGATTCAATACATTTTGCAAATTTTTTAATTTGAAAAATATTAATCAAAGCAATGTTTCCCAGCTGTATCACTTCCTGCTGGTTGATGGTTTGTGAAGTTAGCTGCACAGTTTTGTTTTGTTTTTCAGATAGAAAAAACACAAAAGCTGTATAATTTGGGTTACTTAAGGAAAATGATATCTGTTAATACTCACATACATCTTCAAGGCACATGGTCTCATATTAGAACAAAATATTTTACAATCAGGAAATTAATACAATAACATTTTAATGTAGTTGGTGTGCAGAATACTAATGAGGTTAAATAATTTGCATTTTTACTGAATCTACACAGTAAAATTTGTATCATGTCGTTTTATTGAGCCCTTACTCATCTGAATCATAATATTATATGATTTACGTTATTCCTAGTCAATGATCTTTACTTAAATTGCTTCTTCATCCTACAGAAATGGTGTATTACAGTCTAGTAGTTATTCCCAAGCAGCCACCCTCAGCTAATTCTAACTACTGTATATGGACAACGAAGCAATGAAGTCTTGATCCTAAGAATTCTGAGTGAACAAAGGATGAAGAGCTCTGTTCTTCTGATGTCCAAGCATGTGGATCCAATGCTGTGCTTCTGTCTCCGTGTCTGGTTACCATTAGTTTTGTGCTTCGTGTGTTGGGGACTTTCTAGGGTTCATACATGAAGACACAGGCAAGGCTATCAGAGAAAGTGACTCTTAAGCCTATGTAGTAGCTTGGTAAATTCTTTCTGTCTCCTTTGCGTACTCTAGTAAATCTCTCCTACTAAAATTCCTTCCTCCATATGCATATCAATTTATATAAATAACATAGAAATTCCATAACTAGTTCATTATTATAATCAGCATTATCATTATTTGCAACTGGATGTTTAATCTGGCAGACATCTGTGACTTTTGTAGTACTACCTGTTTAATCCAGTTTTCAAATAATATGTAACATTCCAATATCCTCACACTGGAAAACAACAGAATTAACAACAGTCTAATATTTAATCAGCCTCACCTTAGTTATATAATATTTCTGTAAAATAAAATTATAAAGAAAATATATGTTTAGTGAAACATGCACATGCTAACTGAAATTAACATGGCATTTAACAGAAAAAAACATAAAGTCAATTGAAAGAAAAATTGCTATGTCAAATATATCCTTAGTGTAACAGCATTTTAAAGCTGTCAGTATGGTTAAGAACTAATGACTGTGGATACGACTAAGAAGCTGGGCACATTAGCCTCATGATTAATGTCACACAGCTTTTGTTACTTCCTTGCAGTGTAATTTGAAATGATTACCTCTTCTCAAATCTGTTCTTCCTTTACTTCTTTTGAAGCAATATAATTTTAATTTTGTCATAGTAAATAATATTTACATTCTGCTTTGATTCTTTATTACATGAACACTCTAGTCTTGATTCTGCCTATTACTAGCATTTTTGTTACTGTTAACAGTTCAGTAGACATCTAGCATTCTGATGACACTTGCTTTAAGTCACTTGCTTGTCTGTTAATTATTGGAACATCTAGTCTACACGAATGTTGTTTTTGGTGTTTTCTTGGATTATTGGTGATGAGAGTTTCCTTCATATTTGTAATGT